AATTTCGAATAACATCTTCAAAGACTTATGAGGCAACTAAGTGCCATACTGCATAAGTGCCAACTTTAGTAACACAGTAATTTTTGGTAAAATTTTAACAATCACGCTTATGTTAAAAGTATGAATCACAATTGGTTTTCACGCCTTTTTAAAAAAAGATGGATTATCTTTGATACTTTTAAGTCTTCATTAACCAAAGCCATTAGACGAGGAAAACGCCTTGAAGCTGAAGTACTAAAAAATTCAAGGAGATTTTGATATGAATGTCGAACCATGTGGATTAACACTGGCTACCCCATTTGTTGGAGTCGTTCTTCTTCTTCTAAGGCAGTTGGCAGTCATTTGTTGGAGTTTCTCCTGATGGCTTGTGTGAAGATTTCTGCATAGAAGTCAAATGTCCATTAAATGACAAAAAAATGCAAAAAGGTTCAAATGCAAATGTTAGCTACAGGTAAAAAACGCATTGTTTTGTCTTGCTGATCCCGAATTTGTGATCAATATGCTATGCTTCTAATAGATTAATTAAATCCTTGGACTTATTAAATAAGGACACGGAAATACATATTTTTGACAACAATATATCTAGATTCAGACATTCAATAATATTGTACTTAAGTGCCAATAATCTTTTTGTAAATTGTTAATATCTTCACCATTCAATTCATATACAGCGTATCGTTACCATCGCGACAATAAATTAACACACATATAGGGGATAACTTTTTAAAATTTTATTAAACATTTAAATTATTTAAACATCAATATTTACAGAGTTATTAAATTTTCCACAACAAAGAATTTTAGAACAGAACCTATAACCCTAAAAGGTTAACGTAAAGTTCATTTGTAAAGGTCACAAAGCATATGAATGGGTTGAATGAATTTAAAAGAGACAAAACATACTGTTAGAAGGAGAGGCTTGTAATACGACGCTGTGGCGCGAGTTGTATAGGATGTTACAAATTTTGTTTCTTTTTTACTTAATTAGTTTGTTTGAAAAATATTTTTTTAAATTATGGATTTTGTTTAACGTTAACATTTTTTATGATTATTGGCAAGTAGCGTTAGACGTGTGTTCATTTATTGTCGCGATGGTAACGACACGCTGTATATTTTTATTGTCACATATTTTTTTAGTAACGTACTTTATATACTGTTTTTTTTCTATTTTTACTGTATTATAGTTTAATGCTTGTATTATTATAGTGTTCGTATTTCACCTTTACCCTTTAGTTATGTAAAAGATTTTTGATTTTGTCTCTACTGTTAATTAAAAAGTAGTTTTTAACTATAATTAAGGTACCACTCACCACTTTTTTGATTTTTGCAAATCTTGCTTATTTATTCTGTTACGGTGTGTACTTTATTTAACTAAAAAATTTTTTGGCTGTATATGGTAAATCTTTGCTTTTAAAAAAAAGGAAACACTGGCTGTCAATGTTATATGATAGAATTGTTCATTCCATTGCCTTTGTGGTCTTGGCGTCGTTGTTTTTTGTGCGTGAGATTTGTTTTGTTATTTACTCCCAACCTGACCGTTGCATTGTACCTTGTGACTTGTACCTGTTTTGACGATTTTACCTGGCATTGTATTTGGACTACGAACCTTTCAAGAACGACGACCCTTGCTTTCATATATGGACCTTTTTTTTATTTGAGATGGCAGACAACAACCTTCAGCCGTCAACTAGTGCCGTTTGTGACGCGCGCGCTTCAGCATCATCCGAGACTGAGGCTGTTTATACCGACGGAGTATACGAGCATAGGAGGTTGCACGTGGAAGAATTAATAAAAATGCCGAATTGGACCATGCTTTTTAAAAAGCTACAAACTCGGGAGTAATGTGTGGAGTTCGCAGAAGAACATGGCTTGATCCCTAAAAATAAAATGTGCCGCCATCATCGCATCCCGATGCGAATTTCATATGGGAATTGTAAGAATGTTGGCCAATTTATATGCAATAAAGGCAACTGTCGGGCACGCTCAAAAGTTTCTCGAGCTAAGGACACGTGGTTCGAAAACGTGAAGTTATCGATGCTGCGTGTCTACTTCTTAATGTACGCCTTTGCCCACCGATGGCCATATGACACTGTAATATTTGAGGATCCGGAGAGAGATACGGAAGGCTGCCTCTCAATGGCAGCAATAGCCGACTGGTATAGCTACCGTCGTGAGACAGTAGTTATATACCAGATAAATGTACAAAAAAACATAGGTAAAATTGGTGGCCCTGGCAAGGTGGTTCAAATCGATGAAAGCAACTTTGGAAAGAGAAAATATAACAAACGTATTTATATTTTTTAATGGTCTTTTAAGCGATGCTCCCGCCTTAGCCTTCGTGGTTATTTTTTTTATAACCACCCAGAAATAGTGGCCTCAATTGACCTAGCTCGGTAGGTAAACAATATATATTGATATACAAAATGTTTAATGCGAAACCGAGTTCATGGAGACGGATATTATTTATATTTGAATTGTTTTTTTAATAATATTTTTGTGATTTGTTCTAGGACGACACATTGAAGGCCATTGGGTCCTTGGACTTATAGAAGATGGGAGTGAAGACCTTCGGCTAGAAGTTTGCCCGGAGAATGTGCGCTCAGCAGAAGTGTTGGTGCCCCTGATCCAGAACCATGTGATTGAGGGGTCAATAATACAGACGGACTGCTGGCGTGCATATGATTGTCTGGGTTCTTATGGATACATCCATAAAAAGGTGAATCACTCGGACGCAGACAATCCTTTTGTTGCTCCAGATGGAACTCACAAACAAAGGATTGAGTCACAGTGGCGTGTCGTTAAAAAGTATTATAAAGATAACATAAATAACCCTAAAGATTTTTCTGATACTATTGTAGAATATATGTGGAGACGAAGAATTCAAAGAAATAAAAAAGATTTATTTTTATCACTTATAGAGGCCATAAACTTTGTTTATAAATTTAAATAAAGAATTTTATTTTAACTCTTTTGTTTATTTGTGCCTACATAGTTCTCTATTATATATATAGATATATATATCCGGGGCGTTGGATCGGGCGACTTGGTCCTATCTTATGGCCACCCCGTTCACCCGATTTGAACCCCTTGGACTTCTTCTATTGGGGTTGTCTTAAAAACAGGGTCTACTCAAAACCCATTGTGACATTGGACGAGCTTCGTCGAAATATCACTCAGGCTGCTGATTCCATTAATAGCAAAAGATATGCAAGACAAATAAAACGATCATTTTTAAGGCGATGTCATGCATGTATTAATGCTGGTGGCAAACAGTTCGAACATTTGCTATAATGTTAATAACTTAATAAATTACACGTGAAACTGTTTGTACCATTTGTTTTGAAATATTAAACATTTTTCAAGAACTAATACTTTTATTACACCCGACCGTCATTTGGCCCCTGTTAAGAAATAATAGGCCCATATTTTTTTATAACTTGATTTCCTAGAGTATTATACCATTTTGGAATGTTGGTTAGTTGCATCAATTTTTAAAAAAACTTGCCATACTAGTGTTCATACTTTTTTTTTACACCCCGATTAGTTAAATTTGGTTAAAAGTAAAAGTCTTCAAAATAATTTAGGGAATAAAATAAGTTTCATTAATTTTCGTGATAAAACAAGAGTTATTCTGGAGTTTTTAAGAATTGTGGTAGATAGCAGTACTATTCAGGTTGCCTATAAAAAAAAAAGAAAAAAAATATTTAAATAATTGTGGTCATGGTAGTGAAAAATATAAACGGTCTCAATTTCTGAAGAATTTCATTTTTTTATATAACATAAAATATAATTTTTAAATTTCTTTTTTTCCCCGATTAGTCCGGGGCAGGTCTATCCTCCGGTGTTGGCTTATCGTTGAATTTTGGGACACTATGTATATATATATATATATAATAATTGTGTTAAAAAAGCTGTCAAGGTGACAAAGCTACGTATTCAAAATTTTTCTTATTCCTCATTTTTAAAGCCAAATTTGGCTCTAAAACCGATGAAAGTTCAGTTTTAAAATCTCAAAGACTCCGATTTAAGAAATAAATTTTGCATTTCAGTATATTTTTGCGGCCAACGAAAACAAATTCTCTGCGATCGAAGTCAGGAACGTCAGCTGTCAAACGCTTGAAAATATGTTGTCTTGGATTTTGCAATAAAACCTGGGGACTTCCACGTCCACGCCTCGCTGCCGTGTTAAGAGCCAATGGTGGTCGTCGCGAGGCTTCCTCGTCGTGCCTTTTAGTGACTTTTAGTGACCTTATTTTAATTTTTCAAGGGTGATTTTTAATATTATGAATAACGATGTACGTACATGCTCTCAAACGGATTTCCTACCATGTCAAAAATTGTTCCGACGGTAGGCTTTTTAAAGGTAAAAGAGGCTTAAATATTCACATCAAACGTTGTCATAGTCACCCTGTTGCAGCTTCACAGCCTACCGCATTTTGTAATAAGACTATTAGCGATTATAATGACAAAAATTTTAAGTTGTTTTCGGAACAGATCTATTATTACCATAGCAATGTACCAATACTCAAAAGGATTCCAAGAGGTGCAAGGATGCAGCTTGCCAAGTCATTATCAACCTGTATTCAAAATTGTTTCTCAAATACTGAATCTAGTTGGCATAATTTATTTACCTTTGCGTATTCCCATTTTCACTTTGATAAATCGGTATCAAAATCAATTACTTCTCAGTTAGGGCGCTTTTAGTGTCACGCGGATTTGCTCACGCACGCGGGATTGGACCGCATGCGTAGCATCCGCAAAGAACAATTTCATATAGGTATCTATTGTAAAGCGTGATAAACGCACGCGGGACGCGGGGCGCTGTGCGGGGCGTCACCCCGGTGCGGGGTATCCGCATGCGTAAGCGCTGCCTACAACTTCAGTGCCCATTTTAGAGTCGAGCGGGGCGCACGCGCCGTATTGTACTACCGAAATGAAAATCGATACAGAACGAGTAATCATTGAAGTTCATCTGCGGCCCGTTTTGTGGGATAAACGCAATGAATTATACAAAAAACAGGGACGCGAGGGAGGCTGCATGGAGAGATATTTTGAAGGAATTGGCACCTAACTACGAAAATTTGAGCGAAGAGGAAAGAAAAGAGGCGGGTATGTGTTTGGTTCATTATTTTATTTATACAAGCATCATTACTTTATTAATATAAGCATAATTATTTAATTCACAAATAACATCAAAAACCTCCTAAAACCTTTTGAGTTTAGTTAATTAATTATATATCGGTGTTGCCAGGAGACTTTTCCTTCATTGATAAAGTAATCTGCAAATATATCTCTGATATTACTTGCCGACGTATTACTACTTTCAGTCTGCTGCCTGGGTAGTGGTCCCGTAAAACCATTTGTGACAAATGTATGGCTGACCTTGTAGCCATCCCGTTTCCTTATGAAATTGTGAAGTACACATGCCGTCTTGACTATTAATTGTGCTAGATCTAACTTGACATTCATGGATCTGTGAAATATTCTAAATTTATTTGACATAATTCCAAAAGTGCATTCTATGTACCTTCTAGCTCTGGACAGACGGTAATTAAATATTTTCTTTTTGTAAGGTAAATTATCACGAGCATAAGGCCGCATCACATGTGATGATAAACCAAATGCCTCGTCTCCCACTATCACGAACGGCAACTTTGCTCTTACACTAGATGGATAAGCTACTTCGGGGCAAATAATAGGCAACTCTTGCGGGTCAGGGATACCCAACGTGTTACTTTCCAGTTTCGTATACAATTGACTCCTTCTAAAGATGGTTGAATCGGCGTTGCTTCCACTGGTACCGACATTAATATATGTAAAATTATAATCAGCATCACACATTGCGCGAGGAGCACTACAGAATAATATTTCTTATAATTAAAATATAGTGATCCACTGTGCGGCGGCCGAATCACTCTTATATGTTTTCCATCAATTGCACCCAAGCAATTAGGAAAATTTGTATATGTGAGAAATCCCTCTGCGATTTCTTTCCATTTGATCCCATTAAGCTGTGGAATACATTCAGACTTTAGTTCAATCCATATTATGTAACAAACTTGTCTTACTATTTCGCTAATTGTTGCAATTCCAATCACATAGGAATAGTGTAGATCAGTGAATGTATTACCAGTTGCCAAATATCTGAAAACAAAAACAATATATTAATAATATGATAACATAATATATTAATAATGCTGACATCAGACATAAGACAGCATGCACCGCTCGAATTTTACTTCAGAAGAAAAATAAATACCCTTAAGGTGAAAGGGCACGGAAGTAGCTAGCGCTAGAAGTTTTTAATTCGTTTTAACTACAGTACTATAGCTACGTTAGATTTCTATGATTTGCCGAAAATTTTATCATAGGGGGGTATTTATGCAGTTATGATTTCATATGAAAAGTTCGAAGTATAGTTATGTATCTCATATCTGCTAAAAGTGGCCACTTTTAGCAGATTTGAGACACATAACTATGCTGTAAATATTTTATAAGAAATCTTCTCTGTATAAATTAACCCCTATGGTAAAATTTCCGGCAAATGAAAGGAATCTAATAAATATATATAATATAATATAATGAAATATCGTTTATTTCAGGCAATATTTACATTACAAGATGTCCTCCTTCCGGAAGTTTTTTCACCTTAATTTTGATGATGGCAAATTTTACTGTAACAAATAAACAAATTGCCCGATTCAATCCGGTGTTTTTCCAAAAATCCTTAAATGAAGTTCTAATTATTTTTGTAAAAAATGAATTATTTCGTCGATGTCTGCGCCGCGCCGCCCCGGCCGCGCCGTCTGCGTCTAGTATAAGATTCACTTTGCGCTATCGTTCGCGGCGAAATTGACCGGCCTGCGCCGGCCCGCCGTTTGCGTTGCGCCTAAGGGTACTTTTCCTTCAACTGCGGCCTTATTTTTCCACTCTGTATAGGTATATATATATTGCTTGATTTATCTAATGCTTCATGAGACAGTGTAAAGTTGACAACATGTGTGAATTAAGGAGGGCCTTTAATCGAATGCAGTTAAATTTCCAACTAATATCAGATTTGTACACACGGCCACAGATCAAGCTTCCCAAAAACCAGTATAAACAGGACTCATGCGTTGTTTATTATCGTAGACGACTCGGCGCCCGGCGAGGCCCTAGCAAGTTCCGTTTATTGGTACTGGTTTTGGGTAACTTGATCTGAAACTGTGTGTACTTTTGCCACTTACTTATTATATTTTGTCATTTCAGACAAGAAAATACAACAACGCTGGCGAACAGCAAGGGACACTTACCAGAAAGACAAGATATCTGAAAAAAATCAGCCATCCGGCTCTGGGAGTAAGAAGAAGAAGAAGAAATATTCTTACTATGACATTTTGACTTTCTTAGACAGTACAACGGAAACTGCTGGAGAAGAGTCACTCTGTGAAGAAATGTCTGAACAAAGTAATTTAGAAACACCTAATGAGTCCACGCAACCAGATACTTCACGTCAAGAAAGTTCTCACCCAACATCAAAACAAAAACAAGTAAAATCTAAAAAGCAAGCACCATCTGAATTTGAGGCACAGTTATTAGAATGCTTAAAGTCTAATCAACTGGAGCTAGAAAGTGAGGATTTGGCTTTATTTCAGTCTCTGCAGCCTTCATTAAAAAGATTCACTAGATATCAAAAACTAATGTTCAGAACAAAAGTGTTAAATATAGTTATGGAAATGGAAAGTCAAACACAACCTGCATACTACAGTCCCATACCTACAACAAGTTCTAGTGCTTTTACTGAGCTTGACAGTTTGTCACCGATAAATCAAGATTACCAAACCAATAGTATAATCCAGGATACTTCGAGTCTTAACGACAATGCTATTAGTTCTGCTGCAGTGAATGACAATGAAACTCTTATTTCGACTGAAAGCGGCCTGTTTAATATCACGTCTTATGACGTAATTTATACCCCAGCAACAACATCATCTACAGGCGAAAGTAATGTCAACGCTCAGGATACAAATTTACAAAGAAATGAATGATGTAAAATTTGATTTTTTAATTTATGAATAAAACTCTTTTTATTAAAATGAGTACGATTAACTTTTTTTCTCCAGTTTCTCTCTAATTGTTTGTTTAGTCATATGAGTGCGGCGTTGTACACACGGCACAGATCAAGTTACTCAAATCCAGTATAAGCGGGACTCCGACGGGTTACCTAAGTATGATAATACGCAAGGCGCGAGTTCCATTTATGCTGGTTTTGGGTAACTTGATCTGTGGCCATGTGTACTTTATCAGATAAAAAAAAGGATTGTGTATGTAGGTTGAACGTACCAATCCCAAACCAATTAAGGGCTTTTTTTGACTTTAAATTACTGTCATGTGCAAACCTATAACTTTTATCTATATTATAATAAGTAGCGTGTGATGAAAGGTAGGAATGATTCCACTTTAATGGCGACATTTTATGAGTGAAATAATCTTATTTAATGAAATTTCAACATGAAATTGAATGAAATTATGAACAATGAAATTTCAGAGTACATGACAAAATTTTTTTTTGCACATGTAAATTTACACATGACAGTAATTTGAAGTCAAAAAACGTTTATCCTACCTGTTCAAATCCCTTTCCACTAAATCATAGCAGGAAATTAAATATTTAAAATTTAAAACTTACGTTAATGTAATAGCGAGCCTCTCAATCGGTTGTATTGTAATCCTTCGTAAACTGCTTTTTTGTAGCTTATTCTCAATTTTACACAACAGTTCATCAAAAGAACGAATGGACATTCGAAAGTAATTTTTAAATTTACGTTCATTATTTTGTAGTTTTCCAAAGCGTGTAACAAACGCCCCAGCAAGAAGCCTATTTTCAAGAAAGGGATCAACATGTACTCTTGTCTTCTTGTTTCGTCGTTTGTAAAGTATGTAAGCGACACATATTCTTCTGACATTGATCATTTTTGAACACGTCTATACCGTTACGCAGCCCGTAGAAAACTGAAACTCATGCTGCGTATGATCCGCAGCGTGAAATTTTACGCATGCGGTCCAATCCCGCGTGCGTGAGCAAATCCGCGTGACACTAAAAGCGCCCTTAAAGAGCAATTCATTCAAAAATGTTGAATTAAAGACTGCCTCATCCATAACTAAACCCCCCCGTAAATTCGATTTAAAGAGAACTGTAGAGACTAAAGTTATGGATGGTGATTTAAAAAATGCATCGCGCATTTTATTTTCAGACGACATCCTTGCTCCGTATAATGATGAGACTCTAGAAAACCTCCGACAAAAGCATCCATCGATCAATCTTCCGCCGCTCCTACCGCTGCCCCCCGATTCTTCATATCAGGCTTTGCAAATTACCGATAAAGACACTTTCGAGGCAATTATGTCATTTTCAAGTGGCTCTGCTGGCGGCATTGACGGTATAACGCCACAACATCTGAAAGATCTTGTAAGCGTTTCCGCCGGTGATGCTGGCAGAGCGCTTCTTAATGATATTACCAAATTATGCAACTTAATGCTTTCCGGAAAAGTAAATCCTAAATTTGTTCCTTTCTTATACGGGGCAAGATTATGTGCCTTTAAAAAAAAAGATAATGGTATCCGTCCTATTGCTATTGGTTCTACCTTTCGACGCTTAACTTCAAAATTAGCATGTAGGCACATAATCTCCGGCCTTAAAAGAAAATTCCAGCCTATTCAACTAGGCTTTGGAAGCAAAGGCGGCTGTGAAGCGGCTGTACATTCCGTTCGAACTTCTCTAAATACTAGTGATTTGGATGTACTTCTGAAGGTTGACCTAAGGAATGCTTTTAACTCCATTGATAGAACGACTCTGCTGAACGAAGTGGCTAACCATACACCAGAAATATATCACTATGTTTGGCAATGTTACAGTGAAAAGAGTAATTTATTTTATGAAAACCATATTATTGATTCTGCTGTCGGCGTTCAACAGGGAGATCCGCTAGGACCAGCATTATTTAGTTTGGGAATTAATCCAATTATTTCAAAATTGAAATCTAAACTTAATGTCTGGTACCTAGACGATGGTACTCTGGGAGGTAAAGTTGACGATGTACAAAGTGATCTTATTGAAATTATTAGACAATTTAAAAATATCGGTCTCGATTTAAATAATTCCAAATGCGAACTTTTCTTTTCCGAAAAGATTTCTTTTTCCGACAAAATCATTTTGACCCAAAATTTTAGCTCTATCATACCGGGAATTAACGTAGTCCGTTCAGATTCACTTTACCTCTTAGGTGCTCCTTTGTTGATACCAAGTTTAGAACCTCATTTAAAATTAAAGTTAAGTCAATTTTTAGATCATGTCAATAAATTGTTTTTACTAAATTCGCATATTGCGCTTACTATTTTGCGACATTGTATTCTTGTACCTAAATTTACGTACCTCCTTCGCTCGAGTCCAGTTTGGAAATGCGGTGACTTTTTGAACGAAATTGATTTCCATCTTAAATCAGCTCTAGAAAAAATTCTAAATTTATCTCTTAATGAATTAAGCTGGACTCAAGCTACGCTGCCAATTCGTTTTGGTGGTATCGGTGTAAGGAAAATTTCTAGTGTCGCTCTACCTGCCTTCCTTGCTTCCGTGCATAGCGTAAATAATTTATGTAACAACATTCTTAATCACGATTCAGAACTTTCCTATGCAGAGGAGGCAAGGATGTCTTGGCTGTCTATCTGTCCCAACGAAAATATCCCACTGGAAGTAAACCTACAAAAACAGTGGGATGTTCCTTTGGTGCGGAGAGTACAGAGAGATACGTTTCAATCTTTAGAAAGTAATTTAGAGCGTGCCCGTTTCCTAGGAGTCTCATCTAAAGAATCGAGTTATTGGCTTCACGCTTTACCATCAAGTAACTTGGGCACATTACTTGACGATGAAAGCTTACGCATTGCTGTAGGAATCCGTCTGGGGGCACCGATTTGTCAACCACACCAATGCCCTTGTGGTGTCAGTGTAGACAAATTTGGTCTCCACGGGCTTTCTTGTCAAAAAAGTGCTGGCCGTTTTTCTCGCCACGGTTCCCTGAACGACATCATTCGTAGGGCTCTTGTTTCCATCAATGTTCCATCTATTTTAGAGCCCTGTGGCATTTTACGCGACGATGGTAAGAGACCCGACGGTTTAACATTGATCCCTTGGGAGAGAGGCAAAGCCCTTGTTTGGGACGCCACTTGTGTAGACACTTTGGCTGCCTCTCATCTAAGGGGTACTTCGGTCAGGGCCGGGGCGGCATCGGAGGCAGCTGAAGTAAGTAAATGGCGCAAATATGAGTCTTTATGTTCAGATTATATATTTGTGCCATTTGCTGTTGAAACATTAGGTCCGTGGGGTCCCCGCACATCAAATTTTTTTAAAAGTTTATGTCCTAGGCTTAACGCCGCGGCTGGTGACAAGAGAGCTGGTTCTTTTCTCGCTCAAAGGTTAAGCATAACTATTCAGCGAGGAAATGCAGCTAGCGTTCTTGGCACCATGCCGCGTGGATTAGGTTTATTAGATAATATGTAATTTTAGATAGATTTAATCTTGTAAATATTAGATCAATAAAGATTGTCTAGTAATTGTAAATATATATATATGTGAGTTCAGGCCAGAACAAAACTGGCGACACGTCAGGTTTGGTAAGAATTGTGTCCGTTGAACGTAGATCAGCCCCGAATCAAACCCTTGTAAGTAAGAAGGTCGAATGTAAAGCGTCAGACGGGGTAGAGAGAAGATTAGAGCCTCCTCCCCACTTGATTTAAACAAATACCATATTAAATTAATCAATATCAATATTTTATAGGTTAGGATAGATTTTTTTAATATATTTCAGACTATACGTTTCCGCATCTATATCATCATAGGGGGGGGGTTCACCACTCCATTGTTAACTGCTTATTACGGCACTGTTGATTCCAGACTGAGACATGGCATAATGTTCTGGGGAATCTCTATTTATAAAGATTTAGTTTTCAAAGCTCAAAAAAGATGCATTCGTGCCATTTTCAAGTTAAAGACGATGGAAAGTTGCAATAAATATTTTAAAGACAATAAAATTCTGACACTCACATCCTTATATATTTATGAAACTGCTGTATTTTTAAAAAACAACCCCACATTATTTCCACTATTGTCAGATGTTGCTACTCGGAACCGGCGGGGGACCCTTCAAGACTATGTATGCGCAGGGGAAGAACGGCACGTATGCGAAATAGCGTCTTTTGTATGGTTAAACATTTTCTCTATAAATAGCATGAATTGGGCATTCAAACAATTGTTACAGTGAACATTTTTGCATAAAATTTAAAATAATTGAATAATATAAGTTTTTTTTTTATTATTTTTTTTAAAAACATTGCCCTTACTTTAGGATAATATTATCCTGTGTTGTAAAGGACGTTTCACAAACATAAATTTCACGCGGACAAACATCCAGATGCGAAACAGCTATCTGTGGGTCACACAAATAGTTGTCCCGTGTGGGAATCGAACCCACGACCCCGACGCCGAAGCCAATACCTTGGCAACTGCGCCACGGAGTCGTCAAAAAATATAAGTTTATAAATAATTTACTTAGGTACAAACTAATTGCCATTTTTGTTTGTTAAACTCTCGGTAATATGGAAGCTTTATAAATTTTATAAGTAGATTAGTATTTCAATTGCTTTGCTTTGATCAAATTGTTTTGTTTAGTTTGGTTATATTCTCTTTGTTTAATTTTATATTTTAATTCCTTATTTCCGTATAAGCTTTTGTATTTTTGTTCACAATTAAGTTTACCGTCTCATTATTCAATAGAATTCTACAGTTTAGGAATAACGTCTGAAAACCTAACAGTACAATGGCACATAGAAAGTGTGAAATTTGTGGCGTGAAAGAAGAAAGGTGTACTGAAAAAAGTTTTTTTGCAAGATTTCCATTAAAGCAATTTGTATACTTGTTAAAATAAATTTCTTTTACGTACTTGATTACAGGTTAGAAAATTTTGATGACGATAAGATTATTATTTTAAAGAAAGTACAAAGGCACAAATTAAGGTTCTTTTTCCTTTGTACTGTTATTCGCAAATATAAATGGCTGTAGAAGCAATTATTATTATACAGTTATACGTACAATAAAAGTGACGAATCTTCTGTGAAATTACTTTTAATAAAACAAAATGTTAAAATTACCAAATAAAAATATTGGTCTATATTATTTATTGGAATTGCAGGTGTAAACAGTGGGTCAAGCTAGTACGCAAAGAGGACCTTGTCTATGTCCCTATTGAAAAGCTCCATGAGTTGCGTTACATTTGTGGAGATCATTTTAATAAACGCAATTTTACAAAATCTAAGACCCGTTTAAAGAAGAATGCGGTTCCTAAACTGGGTTTAACAATGAAACCCCTGTCGGATGATCTACTCAAAGAATACTGATTATTATTCCTATTCAAAGAAGTTTCAGTGCCTACTAAAAGATTATATATTTTAATGTTTAAAATTATATAATGTTTAGATTCTTTTGAAATGATATCATCATCCTCCTGCCTTATTCCACTACTATACTATAGTAGTGGTTTTGGCTAGATTTTGTACGACCGGCCGTCTGCCTGATGTCAACACCCGTTGGGAACTTTTTAAAAATTTGGTGGTGATAAAAAACTTTATAAAAATATAGCTTTTTCTTAACAATTTTAGTGTTTCCAGCAAGCAAAGGATGGAGCCCATGCTGCAAAGTTAACACACTCATTTGTCATTTAATTCAAATTACAAATTTTAATAATTGCGCCTTTTTATGCAGCTACAGCTTCTATCAAAATTCCTGAAAAGGATTGTTCTGAGACAAATGGGTTCCATTTTCCACGACTTGCACTGGAACAGTGACAAAGAACTTGCTAGAATGTCGATAACATTCTAGCAAGTTCTTTTTCTTCTTCCGAAGCTTCTAGCCCACGCTTAAACAGCATGTTTGTTCAATTGTTTGCTTTGAGCTTGTTTACTGCATACTATGCTTAAAGAAAACCATGCAAACAAAAGCAAATGTGTCAGTTGACAATGCTCGTTTTATG